TTACAAACGTTGTCAAATGCTCGTGATAATATTCAGACCGACATGACTGCTTCTGTCGGTGTTTATAGCCACACCGGCTGCATAATATACAAATCGATCATTTGATGCGATACAATCTAATAATAATAACGATAACAAAATGTGTGCGCATATCCGAGCGACAAGATTAATCGAAGGATTTATCTGGCAAAGGGAAGCACGACAGAAAACCGACGCTAGATATCGAGACGGTTTGGCATTCGATATTTATCCAATTACCATTGCGTTCAACGGAAATTGGATTTACGTTTCCGGAGAACCTTGCGCGTCGCCGCGAAGTTCAGTCGCTTGTAATGCAAAACGCTGCGATATTATCTGCAGTCGTTCGAAACGATTTTCATCGAACGATTGCGGACGGTATTTAATGTTCATTCAATTACGGCTACTCGATAAGGTCGCTCTGCAAACCTAAGCTATCTTTACTCGCGTATGTCAACTCGTTCATTTTTCTATTTTTATATACGGAATTTTCATACTGATACATTTCTAAATGTTCATGTTTTACGTATCTTGAGTACGTGTTCAGATTTGTTTTTGCGATGTTTCAAAATTATAAATTTATAAAATTTACAAATTCTATATTTTTCAAATTTTCATAAATTCCTAAATTTCTGAATCCATGAAGTTCTAAATTTCCCAAATGTCTAAGTCCACAAGTTCCTGAATTCTCCAACAGCCCAAACTTCCACCGAATAAACGAAACAAGGGTGAATTTACAACCCCATAAAAAAAATAGAGAAAAGTTTTTTTATATCAAATAAGCATCACCCTAGCGAGTCTTTTCCCGCAATTCTTGAAATTCAACAAAATTGGACTCTCGCGGGTCTGGCTCTCAGGTGTCTTGTAGGGTCGGTTACTGCTGACCTTCACGGTAATCAACACGTTAATAACCCACATTATACGCTGCAGCAAACATGGTTGTTACTATTGTAGCAGTGAACATACTTATTTGAAGAATTGTTGATCGTACGAAAGCGGCAGAAAATTGAACAACATTCGACGTAATAGCACTCGGAGGATGCAAAAGGAAAGCAAAGGGTTTTTTTTTAACGATAGAACAACTTACGTGCACCTTACGAGGTTACAGCTCACGAAGTTCCCTTCAGGCAATGCTTGGCTGAACCGTGTGCTTATACACTTACGCATGCAAATGAAGGTTTTAATAACGCAACACGGCTGCGAATAACACCGTGATAATAATTACGCCAAAGGTAGACAAGCATTTAACGTGACAAGAGAGTATTATTTGGAATACAAGGAACCTGTTATGGGAAATCGATGGTAAAACGCGTGCGCCATTCTATTTCATTGAAGCTGTATTTCAAAACATTCCAACTATTAATTACATTTCTTCTTCTTTTTGCGAACGAGCTGTTACATGCTAAGCTGTAAATTTTGAAACACATTTGACACGGGGACAATGGGAACGTAAATTCAGCAGCTGTGGTATGTCAGTTTAGAATTTAAGATTTGATAAATGTGGGTCTATAAATCTTTCAAATTTCCGTATTCCACTGTTTCCCAAATTTATGAATAACAAAATTTGAAATCGTGTTAAATAATTCAATTCTAAAGTCCCTAAACTGGTAAATTTACCCTAATATTAAATTTATATTGTCACATATCAAGACCGACAGTATGTTTGAATTTTCCCAGTTAAAAGTAGCTATAATTATAATGAAACACCGTTCCGGAAAAAAGGTTTCATAATACGTTTCATCTTTCATAATAGATATTACGCCCGCAGTACAGCAATGACGTATTATACCTGCAGGACATCATTACAGAAATTACAGCGTTCACATAACTCGATGCGAAAAGATAAGTAGTTATGTAAATAACATAACCTAGTTTCGAGCGAAGATGTTCGTAGCGTCGTAGTATTGTACAGTTAAGTCCCGAACCGTTTATGGTACACATGATGGCGGTAAAAACCCAAAACTGTTTTAGGGCACCATATTTATGATTCATTGCAATTTCGTAGTTAACCTTCACGTTATTGTCCCTAAAAATCAAAACTTTCGTCGAACTACCTGAAGTGCCAAAACATCCAGCCTTCCTCTACATCTTACGTCGGATTGGTACACTCACCACATAACCAAACAATTGTACTCATGCGTACCAAAATGTAAATAATCAGAAACGAAACCACTCAACCAAGTTACTATAAAACTTAGTACAATCTAATAAATAAATCAATAAAATTCATCAAGCAACTTATCTGCATTGTTAATCACTGAACCTATGTTATACATAATCGAATTCACCCGCCAAATTGGGTGTAATTGCCTTCAAGAAAAATTGAGAAGAGCACGGTACAGCGTTAAAGTAGTCAAAATCCGAATAAACTCATCGACTTGATCTGTCAAACGACAGATGTATAAATAACGCATAAACACAACCGCTAATGAGGTGCGAGAAATCTAATGAAATTCCATTGCTGATTTATCAATGACGCGCGCGAAAGAACGCTCGATCGATCATTCTCCAATTTGATATTAATTTGCACGGGTGGAATGTGCGGAGAACCCGCGAACGATCGATCAACGCGTCGCCAGAAGGTTTTTTCGTTCGCGGAACGAAAAGACTGAAGCAACGCGGGGAAAATGAGAGAAAAATTTGGCGGAAGAGACAACGCGAGTAACGAGAACGAGCTGAAAGATAGAAGGTGGAATGCGAAACGCGAAGAGGATGGAACGAAAGAAGTCGAATCGGCGTGATTAATCGGCGATGAACGAAGAAACGCCGTACGGCCGGTGGCGAACTAATGAATGGCACGCGATGTATTCTGCGAGAGAGTGCGCTTTCAAAAGTGATGATCCGAGAATAGCTAACGCAAATAGAACGACTGCTTCTCCTCCATATCTCTTTCGGATAATTCTTTAGCCCCCGTACGAGCATCGTGCACGCGACCAATCAACGAGCTAACAAATTCTGTGTGGGATACTAACCAATGCGCTTTCATGTAGATGGAAATTTGGGGATTAAGAGTTTGAGAATTTGGGGATTTTGAGAATTTGGTAATTGTGAAATCGGGGATTTGAGAATTTGGTAATTATGGAGTTGGGAATTTGAGAATTTGGTAATTTGGTAATTTGGAATTTTGGGATTTTGTGAGTTTGGGATTTTGGGATTTTGGGATTTTGGCAATTTGGTAACTGTGAAGTAGGGAATTTGAGAATTTGGGGATTTGGAATTTTGGGATTTCGAATTTTGGGATTTTGAGAATTTGGTAATTATGGAGTTGGGAATTTGAGAATTTGGGGATTTGGGGATTTGGAATTTTGGGATTTTGAGAACTTGGTAATTATGGAGTTGGGAATTTGAGAATTTGGGGATTTGGAATTTTGGGATTTTGAGAACTTGGTAATTATGAAGTTGGGAATTTGAGAATTTGGGGATTTGGAATTTTGGGAATTTGAGAATTTGGTAATTTTGTGAAGTTAGGAATTTGAGAATTTAGGGATTTGGAATTTTGGGATTTTAAGAATTTGGTAACAGTGAAGTAAGCAATATGAGAATTTGGGAAATTTGAAATTTTGGGATTTTGAGAATTTGGTAATTGTGAAATCGGGGATTTGAGAATTTGATAATTATGGAGTTGGGAACTTGAGAATTTAGAGAATTGAAAATTTAGGATTTTGGGAATTCGATAATTGTGGAATCGGAAATTTGGGAATATGGTAATTATGGAGTTGGAAATTTGCGAATTTGAAGATTTAGGAATTTCGAATTATGGAATTCAGTTATTTTAGTGTTAAGGAATTTAAGAATTAGTGAACTTGAGAAACTGAGAATAATCGTAGAACTTGAGAATTTTGCAAGATTCTTCATCCTCAGAAATTTGAGCAATTAGAAACACAAGAATTCAAAAATTTACAGAGCTGCAAATCTGCAACTTTAACTAAAAATTTAAAATGTGATAATATGTAATGATAGATCGTAATTTAAAACGTGAAGCCTAAAGCGTTTTGACCCCTTTGGTAATCATACCGTTAACAACCCTAGAGTTAAATAAAAATGATTCTTTGCCCGAGGTGTTTTTTCATGTTAATTCGGAAACTAACTTATTTCGGATCTCCGTATGAAAGAAAGAAGATGTAAGGTTCACCTCGATAAGTTTAGATCGTGGCGAACCAGTTTTTGTCGGGTTGATTCCCTTCGCCTTCGTTGTTGAATACGAGTGAGTTCGCTTCGTTGGCGAATTACGCTTGTTAACGATCGAAAGTGCTCGAGAGATCGAAGGTAGAGAAGCACTGAATCGAAGAACCGAGGAAAAAAAAAGAAGCGAGAGTGGACTGCAATTGACACGAAGAGGGAAAAGAAAATATAGAAAAGCGTGGGACAAAGGGTAAACGAATGCTCGCTGAACCCGGAATATTCACAGAGCGAACATGACAATTTGAGAGACGGCTTGTGTTTAGCGGAACAGAATTCTCGAGAATCCTCGAAAAAACGAGGAAATTTACTTAATTAACAGAACAGATAGCGCCAAACACCAACGCCAGAGAGTACCAATGAATTTTGTACCTTATCAACTTTACAATCAAATATACATTCGTGTACGAAACAACAAGATCTGTAGAAAACATTTCAAACATACATGCGTACAAAAAAATTGAAATATATTCAAGTATATGTAGGTTCAATAAATAAACTGTTGTTCATCGATGAGTTTGGAATTGATATACCATGAACACATAATAATCTTGATGTTATATATTATGATTTTATAAAGAGTTAATGTAGGAATGTATATCTATCCCTACAGGTACAATAAACTTTTGTTTAACAAGTACCGCCACTAGTATTTTGTTCTGCATAACAAAATCAGCCATTAATATACAACAACTTAATACAGTATTTCTCCCTGTAATTTATCGCAGCCCTAATTTCCGACACGGTTTATGCAGCTTGTACCATGCAGTATACTAATTTCGCATATTTTATCGTTATTTCAGGTACACGAAGACGGTAGTGGACTCGAGTCTAACGTCGCAGCGGTACAACCCTGAGTTTACGATAACGACAATGTCACCGACAACTTCCTACGGCAATGCGAACACTAGCGTGCTCATTGACCAATTGAGGCACATTAATCAGGTGAGTTCACATCCAATTGTAATTTGTTCCTCAACTCAGCCTTGGCTAGCCTTGTTTCTGATTGAATTGTGTCTCTCATTCATATCCTGTTTTCAACTTGCCCTGACAAACGGACAGTTCATGAAATCCATTTAAACGATTGTCTTTGCACGTAGGAGAACCTGAGGAGGCTTGATGCATAGGGAGATTTGATACATTGGGAAATTTGATATATGAGATTCGGTATGTCGGGGCTGTGATACGGGGAGATTCCGTATATAGAGTGGTTATGTTGATAGGAAGATTTGATAGGAAGGTTTGGTACATAGGGAGATTTGATAGGCAGGTTTGATACATAGGAAGATTTGATAGGAAGGTTTGGTATGTAGGAAGATTTGATAGGAAGGTTTGATATGTAGGAAGATTTGATAGGAAGGTTTGATACATAGGAAAATTTGATAGGAAAGTTTGATACGTAGGAAGATTTGATAGGAAAGTTTGATACGTAAGAAGATTTGATAGGAAGGTTTGATACATAGGGAGATTTGATAGGAAGGTTTGATACATAAGAAGATTTGATAGGAAGGTTTGATACATAGGAAGATTTGATAGGAAAGTTTGGTACGTAGGAAGATTTGATAGGAAGGTTTGATACGTAAGAAGATTTGATAGGAAGGTTTGGTACATAGGAAGATTTGATAGGAAGGTTTGATACATAGGAAGATTTGGTAGGAAGGTTTGATACATAGGAAAATTTGATATGTAAGGTTTGATACGTAGAAGAATTTGATATGTAAGGTTTGATACGTAGGAAGATTTGATAGGAAGGTTTGATACGTAGGAAGATTTGACAGGAAGGTTTGATACATAGGAAGATTTGATAGGAAGGTTTGATACGTAGGAAGATTTGGTAGGAAGGTTTGATACGTAGGAAAATTTGATATATAAGGTTTGATACGTAGAAGAATTTGATATGTAAGGTTTGATATATAGCAAGTTTTGTCACATACAGAAATTTAACATAGGAAGATTCCGCACATGAGGAGGTTTCATACATAGAATGGTTTTATTAGCAAGAATGTTTTATACATATGAATATACACAGGGAGATTTCACACATAAGAAAATTTGACACATATAGGGTTCAATACACAAGGAGGTTTCACACATATGAAGGATTCATAAATGGGAATTCTTTACACATATGGAGATTTCATACATGGCAACGTTTCGTATGTAAAAATGTTTAACACACAGGAAGATTTGATACATAAGAAAGTTTGACACTTAGGCAAATGTTTGATACATAGGAAGGCTTCATATTATACATAGGAAGGTTTCATACATAGGAAACTTTGATACATACGAACGTTCGCTACATACGGAGGTTTGATACCTAAGGAAGTTTGATGCATAGAGAGGTTTCATATCGTTTAGTACTTCCTACCTAATGAATAAAAGAATATTATACATTGCAGTATATAATTATTCTAATAGTTCTCAGTAAGTGATGTTAACTTATGTGATCCAGGTAAATTTGTTAACATGAACCCTTTAAATTCAACTTCTGATGTTTCACATCTTGTCAAGAACATCTTGTGTCAAATTTTCATCTTTGCACCTCGAATAATTTTTTCTAAAGTTCTTTAAAGACTATTCTCATGTTTGTTACAGATTTTTATAGAATAAACGATTAAGTGTATACATATAAAAGCTTGAGACTCGACCTCCTCAACCGTAATAGTTATTACGAAACCACATTTCAAAACGAAAGTACACACTTTCAACGCCGGCTTGCACATTATCAAACCCGACAGCCTATCGCGTGAAATCTAGTAACAGCGAATGTTTAGTAAAGATACTTATCGCATTCTAATAGAGATAGATATTTCAGTACGTTTCGAAGCGCGAAAGGGTAGCAATTAGTTTCAAAGTTAAATTAATCTGCGTAACGGTGCGTAATACGTGTACACGTAGTAAGGATTTCATTAATTACCTATTTCACGAGGCGGAAACTTGTCCCGATGCTATTTAATAAACGTAATATATCATCAAAGTCAGCAACGGATTCTGCTTCAACGAATGTAGACTGTTGGTACTCGCTGCTTGACATTTCGCCGGTTAAACACTGCTCACTGTATCCCAAATTATCTGATCTTTCCTCAATATTTACTTTTTTAAGTTACATAGGACAATTAGCAGGTGAATACGAGTTTAAAATTTCAGTAAAAAATTTAAAACTAAAATTATTTAATGAGACATAAAATGTATAATTTTAGTGCCCAATGTTCAGGCTCTTATACTTTTACCTTATTCGTTCGACAGTAGTATTGATTATGTGTATAGCTATGAATGATCGATTTTGATCATGCAGAGTATCATATGTATGGTTGATGTGTGGCTCAGAACATCGTGATTCGATGAGAGAATGTTAATGAAGATGATATGAATGTTATATGAGGAATTCTTGCTAGTATTTAACATCTTCTTCATTTTTATAATTGCTGATCAGTCACCTATAATTCGAACGAATTCAAGACACATGTACGATATTTTAACTTACATATGAGTAATATGTGATACGTTTACCCAAGTGCATTTGCAACATGCGTCATAGTATAATGACATAAGTTTTAGCACTTTTTACAAAATGTCATATAAAATGACATAAATTTTCACAAATATTACGTAACTTTTCACAAATATATAATTACACAAATCCTCACAAATAATTACATAAACCTTTACAACTCCATAATCACAATAGATCCCAAAAGCCCCGAAACTACGAAGGGAGCGCATTGTTAATAATTCGAATGAATCATCCGTTAATTTAAATAATAATTTATGGCGAATAAATCACGACAGCTACGATCATACGTTAACAATGGTAAGTAGAATTTGCACGTCTCTATCTCCGTTCGAGCGTTTCGATTATGCGAATCGCTCAAGAGCGAGAGAGACAGCAAGAAGCTCAACGTCGGCGTTCTTGATTTCCTGCATATCAGATACCTGTTGTTCGCACCTGTTCGCCAATCACAGACAATTGGAACCTACTCGTGAAAGCCAATCTCACCCACGCGTCTCTTATTAGGATCTTTCGCTATGTCCACATGGTTTCCACGGGTCAAACGCGCACCTTACCATATGAATAATTCCAGATCAGAAGGTAATTTATTGCTCGGCCTATTCGTAGGCGAACACCGCGGCGAATTACTCGCTTACACGGAATTTCCTGTGGTGTATTTTAATTTATAGAGGCGAAATGTCACAGGTGCCACATGTAACGTTACATTTGGTCGGTACTAAAAAGAAAAAGAAAGTGGAATCTGTGTATTGAATGCTACCTCTAACGTGACGCACCATTTCTCACCCACTTGCAGCTATCTGACGGAAAAAAGGTTACAATTGGTACAATAGATGACCGTAGAAAAACAACTCGAAAACTGCTTTAGAAATTGAAGTCACTTTAAGTCTTATGTATAAAAACACATGTTTCTATCATATTGATTTTTGAGGTGAATTCGAAGTACTAGTATGATATTTTTATTAACATGTCTACGGACATGTGAAATATTTGACTTTTTGTAGTAGTTGATTTTGTCAGTGTGAATCACGTTTCACACTGAGATAATTAAATGCAGAGTAGAACAGAATGTTGCAAATGCACTTGGGTAAAAATAACGTATCACATATTAGTAGTTAATAGAACATATAATATTTCTCAAAACTAATATAATATATTTGTGGATGTTTTTGTAATTGTATATTTATTAAAACAGTATAGAAAATAATTGTATTCGTAAGATAAATGTAAAAAATCTGTAGAGATGTATGAAGAGCTTGACGAGGCTTTATGGAAATCAGGCGTATAATATTATGATGAAACCAGGTGCTTTTGATCGGACAAAGCAATTTTCGTGAGTGCTCCTACCCATTCAACCATTTTTTATGTAAAAAGATTAATGAATAGGGGTATTCGTTTTCATCAAACTTTAAACATGAAATTAATAGTGTAAATGTAGGTACAACACGAATATTATTACGAGTCGAAAAGAGGAAAAGTCGAAAAGGATGTAAACCCTGAACTATAGGAAATTCAGATATAATAAATTATTTTATACAGATTATAAAATTTGAAGATCTAAAAATCTGGAAATTAGGGAAGTAGAAAGCTTGAATAAAAAAATTATAAATTTAGAGAATAATAAAATTGCAAAATTAAAATTTTGAAGCTTGAAAACTGTGTATTCAAAAATTGCGCACTGTTATTAAGAAAGCACAAAATTTATTTTATGAATAATACCACTATAAAAAAAATTCCTTGTTCTAATTTAATATAAATTTCAACTTACATTTATCGTAAATTCATACGTCTTTTAATAATTAAAAATGTCCTCATCTAATACGTAACCTGCAATTAATGTTAGTAAGAGTCATTAAATGAAACTTTGACAGAAATTGTTCGGATACTTTCTGCCGGTAAATTGGGCGTTAATTCACGTGTCTAGAAGTCAGCCTGGCCACTTCTGGTTGTTGCGTGTGCAACACCTGCACACCTGTCAACTGCAGACATATCACACCTGTGTAATCCAATTTAAAATCGTACAGAGTCGGAAGAAGAAACAATGCGTGTGACAATGTGCGAGCTCATGAATGATTTATGAATGAGATACCACTGCATCTCGAGTATCGTTATACTATTTCATTTTCCTTCGTTTTTGGTTAAAAATAAATTTTCATCGTGATATTCACTCTTCACTATAAATCACCATAACGTTCACAGAATCTCCATAGCTCACAGAATGAAAGAAACATCTGAATGCAGGGTGAATATTGCTAAACCCTTAATCTACGACAGTTGCAGATGTTGTTATATTAAAATAAGTAAAAGAATTTGAAATGTTAGAAATGTTTTGATTTATACAGTGGTTTAACGATATCGCATGTAAATGTTCCGTCTTGTTTTCTTCCAGATTTTACAGTCTCAATTGGCGGCAGCACCCGACAGTGGAATCCTGCTCGCTGACGAAGCCTTGGATGGTTCAGGAAGTGGTGACAGGCCAATTTGGAGGAAGAATAGCAAAGACGACGTTGACACGGATGATGAAGACGTGCATGGTTACGATCATGACGACGAGGAGGCCTCAGGATCAGGAATGGGACCTACTACACCGGGTGAGTGTTGGAAACTTGTATTATGTACTTCAACAGTCGTGAGAAATACAAATTTTATTTGTAAAAACGATGGTTTTGGAAATATAGTTAGACGGTGCGAATTCTGTAAAAAGTTTGAAGACTTTGTTCTAACAGTACAGTACTCCACGTTTTATTCTAACTTCAAGTTTTTAATTTGAAGATTTTAGGAACCAAGTTCCAAGATTTTTCTAGTTATAAATTTCCAATAAGTTCTCAAATTTGTAAAGTAACAGTTTTCGAATTCTCAGAGCTTCAAGTTTGAGAATTAAAAAGGTTTTGAGTTACTAAATTTTCAAGTTTCCTAATTTTTAAGTGGTAGAGTCATATTGCAAATTACCGAACCCCCAAATTCTCAGATTTCTGAATTCCAAAATTTCAAATTTTGGATGAGTCGAATTCCTGAATTGCCTAATTGACAAATTCACAAGTTTCTAAATCTCCAAATGTTCAGATGTTCAGATGTTCAGATGTTCAGATGTTCAGATGTTTAAATGTTCAAGTGTTCAAATGTTCAAATGTTCAAATGTTCAAGTGTTCACGTGTTCAAATGTTCAAATGTTCAAATGTCTAAATGTCCAAATTTCCATACCTTCCACACTTCCAAATCTCCAAATTTCCAAATCTTCAAATGTCCAAATGTCCAAATGAGCAAATTTCCAAATTCCCAAAGCCCTAAATCTTCAAATCTCCAAATCTCCAAATCTCTAAATCGCCAAATCCCCAAATCCTCAAATCTCCAAATTTCAAAATTTCTAAATCTGCAAATCTCCAAATCTCCAAATCTCTAAATCCCCAAAACCTCCAATCTCCAAATCTCCAAAATAACTAAATCTCCAAACTTCCAAATCTCCAAATCCCCAAATCTCCAAATCTTCAAATCCCCAAATCTCCAAATCTCCAAATCTCCAAATCTCTAAATCTCCAAATTCTCAAATCTCAAAATTTCCAAATCTCCAAATCTCTAAATCCTCAAAACTTCCAATCTCCAAATCTCCAAACTTCCAAACTTCCAACTCCCCAACTCCCCAAATCTCCAAATCTCCAAATCCCCAAATCTCCAAATCCTCAAATCTCCAAATCTCCAAATCTCCAAATCTCCAAATCTCCAAATCTCCAAATCTCCAAATCTCCAAATCTCCAAATCTCCAAATCTCCAAATCTCCAAATCTCCAAATCTCCAAATCTCCAAATCTCCAAATCTCCAAATCTCCAAATCTCCAAATCTCCAAATCTCCAAATCTCCAAATCTCCAAATCTCCAAATCTCCAAATCTCCAAATCTCCAAATCTCCAAATCTCCAAATCTCCAAATCTCCAAATCTCCAAATCTCCAAATCTCCAAATCTCCAAATCTCCAAATCTCCAAATCTCCAAATCTCCAAATCTCCAAATCTCCAAATCTCCAAATCTCCAAATCTCCAAATCTCCAAATCTCCAAATCTCCAAATCTCCAAATCTCCAAATCTCCAAATCTCCAAATCTCCAAATCTCCAAATCTCCAAATCTCCAAATCTCCAAATCTCCAAATCTCCAAATCTCCAAATCTCCAAATCTCCAAATCTCCAAATCTCCAAATCTCCAAATCTCCAAATCTCCAAATCTCCAAATCTCCAAATCTCCAAATCTCCAAATCTCCAAATCTCCAAATCTCCAAATCTCCAAATCTCCAAATCTCCAAATCTCCAAATCTCCAAATCTCCAAATCTCCAAATCTCCAAATCTCCAAATCTCCAAATCTCCAAATCTCCAAATCTCCAAATCTCCAAATCTCCAAATCTCCAAATCTCCAAATCTCCAAATCTCCAAATCTCCAAATCTCCAAATCTCCAAATCTCCAAATCTCCAAATCTCCAAATCTCCAAATCTCCAAATCTCCAAATCTCCAAATCTCCAAATCTCCAAATCTCCAAATCTCCAAATCTCCAAATCTCCAAATCTCCAAATCTCCAAATCTCTAAATCTCCAAATTCTCAAATCTCAAAATTTCCAAATCTCCAAATCTCTAAATCCTCAAAACTTCCAATCTCCAAATCTCCAAACTTCCAAACTTCCAACTCCCCAACTCCCCAAATCTCCAAATCTCCAAATCCCCAAATCTCCAAATCCTCAAATCTCCAAATTAAAAAATATAAAAATTTGCTAATATTAACCCTACCAAATCTGCCATAATCACTACATTATTACTTGCAATGCCTAAATTTAATCGAAACAATTCGAACGTTCTGTTTCAGATCCAATGTTGAATACGAATCGCGAGAAGCCAATCACGGCCGGTTCATCGAACGTTCTTGTGTCGTCGATCGCGTTGGCGCTCGCACTAGCGGTAGCCGTGATCGCTTAAGCTTCATAAAAAAACAGAAATCGACGTGAGAGAAGGAAAACGACGTTTCGACGAGCCGCAAACCTAGACGTAGACAAACGAGTTTGGAGCCCGCGCGTCAACGAACAGGATGATCCTGCTCGACACGAGGGAACGATCCTCGTTCGGATCTTACGAATCTGCTTTATAGGTATTTATCGTGCCGAGAGATCGTGTCGCCGTGACTCCCGCGAAACAGCTGGAAATCTGTTTTCGTCGTTCGCGGCTCTGCGAAAAAAAACGCCGTGTGCCGATCGATCAGAACGAAGACTGTTTTCGTAATAGAATCGTTGATCGCGAACCGAGAGACATTTCCTAGGCTAAAAATAAAGAAAATCACCGTTAAACCGACCGTAAAGCAGTACGCGTAAAAATAAAAAAAAAAGAAAGGAAAATAAAATCGTTGGATCGTTTCTTAGCGGCTACGGTGCCTAGCTTTTAACGGCCTAACGACACTTTATCGTCGGGACTCGTCGACGAATAGGGGCTTCGTGGAACAACGGGGGAGAGCCTGGCTCTTGTTGGTTGTACATTTTGTTGCTCGTGAACGAGGATGGAGAGAAATTTATATATAGGAGAAAGTAAAAAAAGATAAAATGTTCCAGTGACTGCAAAAGTCACCGGGAAGAAAGACCGTAGGAAATGATCGTAGAGAAAAAAAAAGGTTTTTGTCGTTTCCTGTTATCGAAGGAGCCGCACGATGGTGACTCGACGAATCGACGGACAAGGAGAGACTGTCTTCTATGAAAATTGAAAGTAATTAGAGAAAATTTTAGAGGATGATCCTCGTAGAGAGCTTGAATGTTGTGCCGTCTCGTTGGAAGATCGGATTCAACGGTACCAGTGAACTTAACTTCATACCGTTTGTCTATGTTATTAGCAGTGACTGATGATACGTTGCCATATTAACGAAATAGAGATAAACAAAAAATAATGAAAACGAAAAAAATAAACGCCAGACTTGTACTCGCGCGTTTCGCCCCAACGGGGTCGTATTTATTATGAATCGCCTACAAGGAACAGTTCGTTCTTGAATGATTTGAGCAAACGAAGAGGGGACGGACTAGCAACCTCCCGAGCAATAAACGTGCATTATACGCTGTGAACATTTCGAGGATGAACGAAAAGTGCTTTTTTTCGGCGGAGAGAAGCTATCACGGTTTCGTTTCGGTGGCTTTTCGATAATTCAACGTGACCCGACTGCTTTGCCTGCGATGCTGTTCTTCGTCAAGCGTTCTACTCGCTCGCGATCGCGCGTTTTTTAGACGATCCATACTTTGGAGCAAATGGGGATTCTTTGAGGAACAGTTGATTTAGTTTGAATTTTTCGAAGTTGCGGATTTTGGAAGTTGGGGATTACGGATGAACATTGGGAAATTTGGGAAGTCCAGGATTTGGGGATGTGGGCATTTGGAAATTTCGAAGTTTGGGGTTGAAGCATATTTCAAGATTTGAGAATTTGGAGGTTTGGGCATTCGAAAATTTCGGAATTTGGGGATTTAGGAATTTGAGACTTTAGAAATTTGGGGATGTAGGAATTTAAGACTTTAGAAATTTGGGGATGTAGGAATTTGAGACCTTAAAAATTTGGGGGTGTAGGAATTTGAGAATTTAGAAATTTGGAGATGTTGAAATTTAAAAATTTAGAAAGGAGATTTTCCCTAAATTCCCTAAATTCCCTAAATGCCTAAATCCCAAACTTCAATCCTCAACTACCCAAAAACACCGACTCATCACATTTCCAATTTCCAAATTCCCAAAATTCTAATTTCGCAAATCCTCAAATTCCACATACACTAAAAAAATTCGTTGATAAAGTAAAAGTTTCTGTGACCAGTTCTTCAAGTTACCCAATTTGCTCCGAAAAGCATGACTTTCTCAAAAGTAACGTTCTCAAGAATTGTAAACCACTTATGGCAACCGGAACGCCATCTTGATTTTTCAAGATGCTAGATTACGAAATGATTCAAGTTCAATTATCAGCACAAAAATAATATAAACAGAGGAGATGAAGGCTTTAAAAAAGAGTCTTGCGTTGAAAGAAAAAGAAGATACTTTGACTGTGTTTGAATGACGTTTTGTTTTGTATTAAATAAATATGCAGAGGATCTGTGAAACGTTTCTATTTGCACACATTTATTGCATCTCCTCTGTACATATTATCTCTGTGATCTGACACGCGATCTCTTCGATTTTATAGAACTTTTCGAGTCCAGCTTACGATAAAATGGCTGCAGTCAAATTCTGTGACAATGTGGGTATTTTGTGGACTTAGGAATATGTGGACAAAGCTTATCGATACAGGATTTCCGTCCGTGTAAGGAAAAAATGAAGACAGCCATGTCAGGAAAGGTAGTTCTGTAACTGGTCAATTGGTTGGTTTTAAAAATGTAAAAAAATAAGTACTTTAGAATTCTTTAAACAGAACATCGTTCAAAGACATAATAGTAAGTTTACAACGTCAATATTTAAGTTCTGAAGTAACGCAATTATAAATGAAATTTTAATTTAGTGAATATATTTAAAAAGATTAAAAAAATATAATTTACGAAGGTTACTAGTAATATTTGAAATTGTTTGTTAAATCAACTTCTTTGTTTCTGATTTAGTAGAATATTCAGCAAATCAATGAATGAGAAAATCTTTCATAACCAATATCATTATTTTGTACGTTCCCGCCACTAGGTTTATCCCCGTTGTCTAAATTCACGTTCTGAACTCCATCCACATATTCCTAGATCCATGGAATAACGGAGCGAAAATCTTGAATACCTAATCACCGAAAGAAAGCTTCGATAGTGATTGTTTCTCGTGGATATTTTTAACGTGCTTTTTAACCCTTTGTAAATCGTCAAAATTCACACACGTATTCGACAAATAATTTTTGATTGACAGAAACGAGAAAAATCGTGAATGTAAATATTATAATATTTTAATATATGTTTTGAAAAACTTATCGCTATTAATTTATTGCTATTATGGTATTTAAAATAAATGTTCGCAAAGGGTTGACTTGACAGCGGTTGAGACTACGCGTTGTCATCGGGTGTACCCTTTCGCAAATTGATCATTAAAGCGTAATGAATTATTTGTTTGTTATTTATCTTATTATAGCTCGACACTAATTCGGTTCTATACGTACACTTTTTCTCGTTGTTCCTCGATTTTTAAGCATGCTCACTGTTGCTCAGAAATATTACAACACTTTCAAGATAATAATGATACAGTGAAAATTTTGAATGAATGAGTTTTATTGGACATATCTTTATTTTAGATCGCGTACTTTCCACATAAAGTGTAACAATTTACAGTGAAGTACCTTACGAGTGACATACAGTGAAGTACCTTATGTACAACTAATTTGGCCAATGAAAAATTGTATCTACTAATTAGCGTATACACATACAGGAGATTGAAAAAACTAAAATATTACACATACACAAGTTGTACAATTTTCACTGCAAAGGTCAGTGTCAATTATTTAATATGATGTTCGTATGCTAAAAATTGTCGAAACAATTTAAAAAATAATTAAAATTAAAAAATGATAAAGGTCACAAATCTTTAACCTTATGTTTTATAAGGTAACTGTTGATCGTCAGAAATGTCTTGTAATATTTTTCAGCATATTTTAGTGTATTTTCTACGCAACGAAAGGGTTAATGGAAAAAATGAAACTGAACTCAGTTCGTGAAGTATCGTAATTTAACACGTTAACTGCCACAGTGAAAGTAATACGTTCTAACAATTACGGATACGATCGCTCTTAATTTGCATATTGTCTCACATTTTTTATTGTAATAATAATGTTATTTAACCTCTTTTTACTCGATCATGTTAAATTATGTTAACGTGTTAGTCATTGGTGATCAAACGTACAGTGCCATAATTTGTATTACTTTATCATCACTTTGCCAACCAACCAGCTTTAATTTTTTGGGAATACAGTAAGTAGCAAAAAAAATTAACACGTTCACAGTCCGAAGCAAAAATACTATTAAAAAGAATACTCGTGGTATACTCATAGATATAACAGAAAAGCAATAATAATATGTTCGTTAAATATTCTTTATTCCTAATTATGCACCTTATCATTCTGTTACAGTTCTTTATAACACGTTGATCTTGCTCTTCGTTATACTATATTTTTTAAAACGTTAAATTTAGTTAGTTTAAAAATAAATACTGAACGTGAAGCATGCAGTGAATCAGTCTGCTGAAACTGTTTTAATACCCACCACTGGTAAATGTTAAATACTGAAGTATTTCTTGTAATCAATATTTTATTCAATTAATTATAAACTGAATTATTCTTTACACGCAAAGAACATATCTCTATAAAATTTTAAGCATAAACTGCCCTCCTCAACCTTTGACCACCGATGTGAGGTTAGAAGTTAATTGTTCAGTCGTATTTTCATTTATAAACCATATCTTATCGAAACCTAAATAGCAAATAAAAGTAGAGTAGAATTGATATACTATCGACAAAAATATTCAAATAACATTTGAATGATGCTTTTGTACATTTAGACTTGATATCTCTAATAAGATGAATTTTTTATACTTAAACAAAGGATATGTTAAATAAGTGTTATTTTATGAAATATAAAATAAAATAAGTTTAACATCAAACTTTTTTGAAACAATAAATTAACGACTAAAAATTTGTTGTACTGCAATGTCAAGTTTATAGTCTCTGTCAAACTTATATCTCTTTTAAAGTTCACTGATCATAATGACCACCTAAATATTCACAGTGGACAAGATGGCGGGTCGTAAACAAGATGGCAGCCCTCAGACTTCCACTACAATTATTACAATATTCAAAAAACCTTAGTGATGAAAGGTTAAAGAAGGATGTAATTGCTAATTTATTGCTTATAATTGCTTATTTAACTGATTATTGCTTTCAGAGCTTAACTAATGTGAACGTGTTAATATTATCAAAAATTTGTAATTACTATTGCATTTAGCACTAAACCTATTCACTTATATTGCTTTAAAACTGAAAGATGCAATACAGAAATAAATAAATTTAGCGTGTAATTTTATATTCCCATAAAACTTAACATTTGAAAAAAAATAAAATAAATGTAAAATTCTGATATAAAATAAAATAGATTTGCGAATTGGTCATTTTGTTAGTTTTGGTGTTAAATGTATATTAATCTCAAAGTTAACTGCACGATCGAAAATAATGTTCGATCAATTGTCCATTTGGCAAAGTGATAGAAACGCAGAAAATCAACTTCAGTTATTCTCTATATTCGATATTCAATTTCCGTTGAACATGTTTATACTGTATTATATACACGTTTGAACGTTTCAAGTGCCAAAATGAGATGAATTAATCGAACGATACCCATTAAAATACCTGCGGTTATCCAAAGCGAAAATAAACTTTTCGAAACGTCTTATTGTTAGACGTCTGAACTTCAAAGCGGACCTCCATCTTGGATTCGTTTATTAACCAAGAAAACAGTTATAGACGTAAGAGAATGTAAAGTGATCTAGGAAAAGTGTCGCCACGATGGCCCAACTGATTTTGTATATTTGATTTTTTCGGATTTTCGAGGGTTAGTGCCTTGTATATCACTGGGCTATTACGTATGATATCTTTGTGCCCAACAGAAAAAACGAGAAAATCATTTGTATAGGCTGTCTGTAAAAGTTGTAACTTGTATAACCTCCTGACGAGATCGAGCAAGCGAAATAAGTTGAACCACTCGACGATTGTTGTAATTGTTCAAAGATTGCAGAATATTTTTTTATTAGCGAGAAGTACGTAATTTTTTATTATCCTTTACTTCGTTTTGGTGGTTCTTAAAATGATAAATTACATTCTTTGTAATAAAAAATACAGAGTTACTTATTCTACAATTTTTTCAAATTTTATTCTTATTTCGACGTTTTTTTCAGATTTTAACAACTTGAATTC